GTTTAAAATTGATGTAACCCACTAGTTAATAATAAATGGGTCAGTTTTTCTCATAGCTGCTGTTGTTGAGTATTGTTTTCTGTTTGAATATCACTCGTTCAAGACTTTTCTTAGATTCCACATTACAAAATAAGTAATAAAAGTATATAATTTGTGCTGATATCGGTATCGGCCAATCCTCAAGGCTGCAATATCGGTATCGTATCGGAAGTGAAAAATCTGTATCGGGACACCCCTAGTTCTGATGGGTATTCTAACAGATTTAAGGAGTTCTTACTCTCTGCTGCACCAGCATGTGTTTGTTCTCCAGCTCTTTTCTTTTTGCAGAACAATCGGCCGACAGCAGCGACAGCTGAGGAACAAACAGACGCAAAAGTCAAAAGGTCAAAGGTCAAGCAGAACTTCAACTCAACAAAGTACCAAGGTCAGAGGTCAGAACCTGTGCCGCCATGGTCTTCATGGTGGGTTCCAGGTCCCTCAGCAGGTCAAAGCCCTGATGGAAGAAGGTGAACTGAGCGTGCACGTAGGAGAACACCTGAGGAATATGCAACAGGTGTCAGTTCCAGTGGTTTCTAATCATCTCTACATGAATAAAACCTTAAACGTTAGTTTTGGCTCAGGTGCACCAACATGTCAGGTGTTTGACTCACAGAGTTCAGAACATCCATCTTCTGCTGAGTCCTAAAGGTGTTCAGCTGAAACACAGAGCGGTTTGAATCAGAACAACTGAAGAGGTGGACACATTCTCCTCAGGTTCTCCTCAGGTTCTCCTGGTACCTGCAGACAGTAATCCAGGGCGAAGTGTTGAGAACACTTCCTGGTGGCGAGCAGCAGGTGACTCGCCCGCTCCGCCTCAGCAGCTTTATGTGGAGACACCTGAGCGTTCTTCACCGCCGCCGTGTCCAGATCCTCTCTGATCCGAACAAACTCCTTCCTGGTCTCTGCCAGCTGTGGGAGGAACCTGTAAAAACCCACATCAGAACATCTGCTGGTCCAGGTGGGTCCTCAGGTGGACCTGGTGACTCACTGTGAGCAGAGGTTGGTGAGCTGCTGGCTGATGGCCCTCTGGGTCTGATCCAACAACATCTGAGGAGCAGAGACACGGGTCAGACTGGTTCTGACCTGACAGCACGTGGGTCAAACAAGAACTGGACTCACCGTGTGGAAGCTCAGCGTCTCCTGCAGACCCTGGCTGAACTGGGTCAGGCAGCTCTGACAGGAAGGAAACAGGAAGTGGTCAGCATGAGTCAGAGGTCAGCTGGTCCTGCAGACCTGCTGTGGGTCTACAGGTGAGCAGTTAGCCCCTCCCTCCCCAGGTGACAGCAGGAGGATTAGCTTCTTACCATGATCACCGTGTCCTTCTTGTGGTAGGTGAACAGCTCAGCCAGGCCGCTCAGGAACAGCTGATTGGCTGAGTTGTACGCTTGCCCCGCCTCCACCATCTTCCCACACAACCTCATCACCTGATTGGTCAGAGACACAGGTAAACTTTACCTCAAACACAGATCAAACACAAAGGTCTGCAGAGAGGAGCTGCTGGATGCACAAAGCAACCAGCCACATCATTATGACCACTGTCAGTCTACAGGTGACACCCAGGTGTGTGTACCTGGTTCAGGTGTGTCTCCAGCAGAGAAACATCAGCCTCAAACTGGTCCAGAGTCAGTCTGAAAACAAACAACAACAGCTGAGAGCAACAAACAAAACAACAAGACATATGAACATGTTGTAGTTCAGCGAACGAGATGAAAACATCTGGAATAATTCATTAAACTGATCAAAGTTCCTTTAAATAAAACCAATAAAAGTCTGTGTGTGTCTTACCTGAACTCAGGTGAGTCTTTAACACACTCCTCAAAGTCCAACAAGCAGTCCATGACGTCACCCCGCAGAGCCACCGACGGAAGTCTTAATAAAGTTTATTCATGGAGCCGAGCTGCCCGTTAGTTAGCCTGTTAGCCTGTTAGCAGCAGGATGTCCTCCGCTCCTTAACCTCAAACTCTGCCCGCGTCGATCCACCGGACACCGCCAGCAGGCCCTGCTTTACCTCCCGGGCCGGTTCGGTTCGGTTCGGTTCGGTTCGAGTAAGAGCGGAGACAAACGGTGTTGGCTTTATTGACAGCTGTCTCCGCGTCCCGCTACACGGAACCCGGGTTAGCTTGGCACCAGTCCAGCCTGAGGAGGGACAGCGCCTCCCGGCGGCCTGGAGAGGAGCTGCACCTCCTCCATCAGGTCCAACAGGTTCTGAGTCCAGCTGTGGAGAGGAGCTGCACCTCCTCCATCAGGTCCAACAGGTTCTGAGTCCAGCTGCAGGAGAGGAGCTGCACCTCCTCCATCAGGTCCAACAGGAGCTAAAGTCCAGCTGCAGGAGAGGAGCTGCACCTCCTCCATCAGGTCCAACAGGAGCTAAAGTCCAGCTGCAGGAGTCATGTGAGTTCAATTTAAAAAGCTGAAAAAAGCTAAAATTAGCAGAACAATTGCAGAAAGAAGCAGGATTACAGCTAAAATAGAAAAAAGCTAAAATTAGCATATAAGCTAAAGGTAGCAGCCACAAGCTGAAATTAGCACCCAGATGAAAGTGTAAACATTTAAAGTTGGCAGAAAAAAAGGATAAAAATACTAAAACATGATAATTTGTTGTAAAATAGCTAAAACAGCCAAACTTTTCAGTAAAACAGCTGAAATGTAGCTGTAAATTGTTTAGTTAGCATCAGGAAACATGAGGAGAACAGGTTCACTGAACTCAGCTGAAATAAGTTTTAACAACTACAAAAATGTCTATTTAGCTTAAAACGGCTAACTGTATGTAAAAACAGCTGAATGTAGCAGAAACAGCAAAAAAGCTGGAAAAAGCAGAATGGCACAAATAGCATGCAAAAGCTAAAATTAGCATGAAAAGCTAAAAATAACATAAAATAAGTTAAAAAGAGCAGAAGCAGAACAGATTTAGTGGATTTTATAATGTGTGGACCTTACCGTCCAGACTTCACTTTATTGATTTATTGATTTATTTTCACGGTGCTGTTTAAAGCTAAGTGCTCGTGTAACCGAAAGCCGGATTCGTCGCTGCTTACGTCACAGCGCCGCGACGAAGGACGTAGAGGACTCCTCCGACACGTCCTTCCTTTGGCCCGGTTTGAAGGACAGGTCCGGTGGGTCGGGGGTCCGGGCCAAGATGGCGGCGTGAGCGCCTGTTGGGTCACTATGTGAAACTGTCCTTCATGTGGTTCTGCAGGGAACCTGTAATACTCGCATGCGCCTATGACTGATAATTTATGCAAATGATATGCATGACGTCATGAACGACGGACCCCATTCTTGTTTGATTCTGGTTCTGCCCAAAGAACGATCCTATGACGTCACTATGACGACACAGCTGTGTTTGCATTGAGCTGGAGCTTTTCTCATTGTGAGTTTACTGAGTGCAGCAGAGGTTAGCAGGATGAGCTCTACAGACAGCGCTGAAAGCTCTACAGACAGCGCTGAAAGCTCTACAGACAGCGCTGAAAGCTCTACAGACAGTGCTGAAAGCTCTACAGACAGTGCGCTGAGTGAAAGCTCTACAGACATGATGAGTGAAAGCTCTACAGACAGTGCGCTGAGTGAAAGC